GCACCGCGTCCTCGCACTAGACCAGGATACAGGCTGGCGGGGGCTCTGGGCCCAGCAGGCAGGCCCTTCTGCCTCAGTGCCGCTAGGTACATGTCCCCTCTGTGATCCGTCCCACCCAGGGCTCCAGCTGATGGCCCTCAAACCCTCCTCTACCTCCTCACAGTGGACGGAAGCTGCACGGAAGCCAGGAGGCTGCAGAGCCTGGTGCGGGGGCATCGGGGCACAGGCTTCCCTCCCAGGGTGACTTTTCTCGCCTATGAAACAGAATTGTTCCCTCGTACAAAGAGAACATTAGTCATTCTCCATGTTGACCCCACGAAGCATTTCCTTCTGTTGTACGGACACGGGGAAGCAGAGCTGGCCTTCGGAAGCTGAATGGATGGGGAAAGAGTCCATCTTTGAGCAATAAACCCGGCCCCTCGTCAGGCGCCTTGAAACGGACATGCGGCTGAAATGACCAACAGCCCAGGCACAGTGTCCAGGGCATCTTATGGCGGTCACATCCCAGTCCTGTGGCGTTCTGGGGTCGGAATTGCCCGGGGCTCCCGGAGACCAAGGGGGTGGGGGCAGCAATCAGAAATGCTGCAAGAGGGGGCGCCTGGGTGGCTCAGTTGGTTAAGCGACTGCCTTCGGCTCAGGTCATGATCCTGGAGTCCCGGGATCGGGTCCCACATCGGGCTCCCTGCTCAGCAGGGAGTCTGCTTCTCCCTCTGACCCTCTTCCCTCTCGTGCTCTCTATCTCTCATTCTCTCTCTCTCAAATAAATAAATAAAATAAAATAAAATAAAAGAAATGCTGCAAGACCCTTGCCCTCAGATGGCCAGCAAACGCCTTCATCTTAAAAAGATAGAGGGGGTTGGGGCTCCATGGGGCAGGAGCAGGGCTGGAGTTGGCTCTGAATCATCTCGGGGGCAGGAGGTCTCCAAAGCCAACATCCATAAAGTACCAGCCTCGAGATCAATGGTCTGCTCCTTGTGCCCTGGGGCTGGGCTGTGTCTAGCGGAGAAGCTGAGAACACCCGCCTGTGGTAGGGCTCCCTTCCCTGCACCTCTGCCCATGCTCTCCACTGCCCTCAGCACCCACACCCCTCCTGGACAAGGGCGACCCTACAAACTGGCCCATAGGCTCCCTCAAGGCCGTGGGAAGAGAGAAGGAGGGGTAGATTGGTCAGTCCCCGCAGGGGGGACAAAATATGAGTACGGTCTCCTGGGACCCCCACTCTCAGGGAAGGTGAGAGAGTACAGGGTTGGCCCTCCACGGTCAAAGCCTGGCTCCCCAGCTGGTGTAGACCACTTGCCCAAGGTTCCTGTGCCTCAGTTTCCCCACTCACAAAGGGGAGAAAAATAGCCACCTCCAAAAAATAAGCAGGGTACTTCCCGACGGCTTGGCCCCTACAGTCCAGGTGAGGCCATTGTGCTCACCGCTGTCCTCAGGGCCTGGCTCTGATGACCAAGGGCTTGGGAGGCCACGTGTCCCCTGACAGGCAGTAGACAGGAGACTCAGCTTCCCCAGGAAACTGGAAAATGAAAAGATGACCCAAAGCAGCTCAGCCTGGCCCCCATCCCGCCTCAAGGCCACTTGAGAACTGCGAAAGAGGCTGCTGGGTGGAACGCCCTCTGTGGTCCTCACACGAAGACCCTGGAGGCCTGCTTCCCACAAGAGTACTGGCCCCCCAGACCCAGACTCAGCAGAGCTGCATGTGTGCATGCATATGCAGCTATGGGAGAATCTGCATTCCTGACAAGGCCCCCGTGTGATGCAAGCTGCTGCTGAGAGGCCGGGCTGCCAGAACTCGGCCCTCCTCCATGTGGTCCGTCCCAGAGCCCAGGGCCGGGAAGCACACGCATGCACCCCACGCCAGGCACAAAGGACTTACCCATCAAGGGTAAGGTGGGGAGGTGATGAAATCGACTGTTGTGTGTTCTTACCTAGGGGTCCTCTGCACCCACAAGATCAGTGCCTGGGAAGCCAGGGCCTGGGGGCTGCCCTTGGCCATCACAGCCCAAGTCGCTCACTCCCCCTACAAACCCTAAGGAGCACCAGCAGGGCCTGGGCCTCCCTGTCCCTCATTCACGAGGCTCACTTCAGTGAGAGGCAGATGGGACGCCACGGGCCTGGCAGTCTCTCTATTGCAAGACAAATCAAGCTGCTGACCAGACCGCAATTCCGGCAAAAGAAGGAGGATTATCGGATACGATACCGAACACCCAGTTAGATTTGTACTTCAAACAGACAAAGAATAATATTGGATATAAGTATATCCCACACAATATTTGAGCCCTACCTATACTGTGTGAAATTATTCATTTTTTATCTGAAATTCAAATTTAACTGAGCACCATCCTTTATTTTTATATGTTTAATCTGGCAACCCCACAAAGAAGGCAACACACCCCCGGACTGATCAGGAGTGACCAGCCGCTGAGCCTGGCCTCCCAGGGCTCCCCTCCACCCCTGGGCCAGGCTGAGCCCTGCAGGCGACATGGCAGGGACAGTAATAGTACCAGGTCAGGATGCTGTGAGGATCCATGGAGTGGACCACACAGCCATGCCCAGTGGGCAGGACAAACAGGATCATCACGGCAGTTCCTCATATGCCCTGTGTGAAGAATTAGACTTTTTTCAAAATGCCATGACTGGCCCCCTGGCCAGGTGCCAAGGGAATAGCAAAAGCCTTGACTTGGTTCCCGACTGCAGGTTTCTGAGAGGGGAGCGCGGGTTTGAGTCCAAACAGTGGGTGGGAAACGCCCCCTAGAGGTGTGATGGGTGGGCTGCAAGCCACAGCTAGCTCGGAATGGGAAATTTCTGCCAACCCAGCGGGCGGTCACTGGGTCCCTTGGGCACCTCACACCTCTGAGGCCCCTCAGCCCAGGAACGGGGATAACGCTGCTGCCCTTCATGTCCAGATGTGAGGACAAGGCCCAAGGAGGCCCATGGTCGAGCAGGTGGACGTGAGCCAGTGGGGCCCACAGCTGGCCTCCCAACTCTGAAAGCTGTGCTTTCTATGTCAGCATATTCCTTCGGTGTCTGGGGGGTGAGCTCCACTATGTGCGCCAGAGAGGAACGGTCCACAGGGCAGTGCCAGCCAAGCTGGTAGGATTCCATTTCTGTCCCAGAGACTGTCAGAGTCGAGGACAGTGTGCCCAAGGGAAGGTAGACACACAAGGGCATGTCTGACCAAAGCCTTCCAAACTCTCCTTCCTCTGAATGCAGCTCTCACAACCAAGAACAGGTGTCCCCTTGGGAGCGGAGGACAGGTGCCCTTTGATAAGCAATGGCCACTACCTTCCAGAGATGACATCAGCATCCCAGGCAAGAAACTCCACTTGGGCAGAACCCAGAGCTAGTCTTGGGAATAATTTATCGTAGCCAAACTCATACAAGACTGATGAATAAACCAGATGCTTTGTGTGTTCATTGGCCATGGGAGAGATCCCTTTCCAGGGCCTCGGTGTTTCTCATCTGGGGTCCAAGCCCCTCATTGCTGGGATTAAGATACTTGGGAGGCCTACTGCATCTTTTGAAGGTGGCAGTGGGGGGACAGGGGGATCATTCGGCCTCAGTGATCAAGAGAGTGAGTGGTCAGTTGGTTACTGGGTCTGTGAACAAATGGCCAGTGTCCTCCTGCTGTGGGCCAGATCAGCCCTGGCCCCCTGGGTCTGACTGACAAGCTGGCAGGGAAGGCGGATGCTGAACACGTTGTCACCAATGGTTTGCCATGACAGGCAGTGTGGGCCCTGTGGAACACTGGCTGAGTGGTAGGGCCGTGAGGGACCAAATGAGATCCTCTTGTGTGGGGGTCAGGGTAAGAAACCTCGCCACAGTCCCACAGTCAAGGACTGAGCGAGGAACTGATCTCCAGAAGCCACCACCCATGACCCAGGTCCCTCCCCAGCCTGCCAGGCCTGGCCTGCTCTGGTCCCCCTGGACCCTCAACTGGGCTCCCCCTTGCAAGCCACCTCTGGCACCCAGGGCCACACGTGCCTCTCCAGCCGCCCCTCTGCCTGTGTCCCAGCCCTCAGCTCTCCAAGGTCACCACCCCCGGGTTCTCTCCTGACCCCCAAACAGGAGGGCCACATCTCCCGGGTGCCGTCGAGGGGACCCGTATCCCCAGCAGCCCCCGTGGCAGATAGGACTCTATCCCCCGGGCTGTCCCAGGGGCAGCGCTCCTTCCAAGGGGCAGCGCGCAGCAGTGTGGCACCAACAGTTCACTGGGAAGCCTGCGCGCGTGTCCGGGGCAGGCCCAGGCCCGCACCAGAGCGGCCCGCGGTCAGGGCGCCCGACCTTCAGCAGTACCCCCGAGGAACGCACCGTTATGGAGCCCACTGCACGGAGGAGGAAACTAAGGCCTAAAGACGCTCTGCACCTTGCCCAGACCAAAGTCCACACCCGGCGGGAAGCGAAGAGCGTTCCCCGCGGCGGGTCCGGGGCCCCAACACCGGTGGGCGTGGCCTGGGGACGGGGCGGGGCGCGGTCCGCGGGGGAGGGGAGGGGGCCGGAGCCGGTGGCCCTGATTGGGTAATGCCTCGATTCTTCGTGGGACTTCCTCCAGGCCAGCTGCCCCGCCTTGGCCCCGCCCCCGGAGCAGGTCCCGCCCCCTCCCCCCCCCCGCCGCCGTGGCCCGGGTCGGGGGTGTAACCTCCACGGAGGCCCGTGGTCACGGCGAGGTCGGGCCGGGCAGTGGAAGCCGCGGGGAGCCCAGGCCGGCAGGCGTGATCAGGTGCCTGCTCTTCTTCCTAAGCGCCTCAGTCGGCGAAGTGCGGCTGCAGTCCCGCCCCGCAGAGCGCACAGCTCGGACGGGCAGCACCGGGAGTCGCGCAGCCGGCGCCACCACCTCCCCACCAGAGCGCTTCCGCAGTCCGCCCGTGCCGACCGCGCTGCGCCGCGGGGCCCGGCCGCCAAGGGGCGCCGTGGGGACCACCCCTCAGCTGCGCCTGCGCTGGCGCCGCGCACGAGCCGGAGCGCAAACCCGCCGAGCGCGTGCCCGCCCCGCAAGTGCGCCTGCGCGGAGGCCGTGGCTGCGCCCGCTCCCGCCGGGGGCTCGTCGCTGCGCGGCCGGGCCATGGGGGAGGCCGAGGTGGGCGGTGGCGGCGCGCCGGGCGACAAGGGGCCGGGTGAGGCGGCCACCAGCCCAGCCGAGGAGACGGTGGTGTGGAGCCCCGAGGTGGAGGTGTGCCTCTTCCACGCCATGCTGGGTCACAAGCCCGTCGGTGAGCGGAGCGCCGCGGAGGCCGCGGACCCGCGTGGGGGCGGGGCGGACCGGGCAACGGCTGGGGGCGCGGGGCGGAGCCTCCCACACCCGCCCACCCACCTGCACTTCCTCCTCCCTTGCCGCCCGGCGACCCCTGCGCCCGCCCACCACCTCTCCGCCGACCCTGGCCCCTCCACCCCCCTGTCCCCTCCCTCTGTCCCCTCCTGAGCCCGCTCACCCCCTTCCCCCTCGGCACCCCTCCTGTACCCTCCCTCTTTCCCCTCCTGAAGCCACACACCCCCTCCCCACCGACCCCCTCCTGCACCCCTCCTGTACCCTTCCTCTTTCCCCTCCCTGAGCCCACTCACCCCCTCCCCGCCAACCCCCCCTCCTGCACCCCTCCTGTACCCTTTTCTGTCCCCTCCTGAGCCCACCCCCCCACCTCCAACCCTGCCCCCTTCTGCACTCCTGCTGTACTCCTCCACTCTCTGTACCCTCCCTCTGTACCCTCCTGCATCCCTCCTACTCCCTAATACCCTTCCTCTGTCCCCTCCTGTGCCCACCCCTCCCACCCCCATTGCCAACCCCACACTCTTCCACCCCTGCTCCCTCCTATACCCTCCCTCTGCATCTCATACAGCTACCTTCCTGTCCCCATCTTTACCCTTCCCCTGCTGAGCCCTGCCTCCCATCTCTCTCCTCTCCTCTTACTTGCTAGCCCAGCCCTCCTCACAAGCTGACTCTTTTCTCCCACAGGTGTGAACCGACACTTCCACATGATCTGTATCCGGGACAAGTTCAGCCAAAACATTGGTCGGCAGGTCCCATCTAAGGTCATCTGGGACCATCTGAGCACCATGTATGACATGCAGGCGCTGGTGAGCAGATCCCACCCTCCCCCAGACACAGCTCCTCCATGTGTTTGCCAGGCCCCGTCTTCAGGGGGCCCTCTGTCCTGTGCACATCCCAGGGGGCAGCAGGAATTAACAAGGGGGCTCCAAGTAGTTTCACTAAAAACCCAAACCCGGTGACGGTAGCTGGCTCCCCTCACAGAACCCCCTTCACACGGGGTGGTCAGTGACAGTCTCTCCAGGGAGATGACCGGGGACCTGAGGCCCGTGGGAGGAGGTAGAAGGCCCCAGAGTGCTCTAGGCAGGAAGGTGACGGGATCCGAGTCTGAGTCAGGTGAATCTGGTGGCTTCTGTGAGAACCCGGCAGGCGGGGTCCCCGTCTTCACAGGACCCCAGCTAGTTTCATCCGAAGGCAGGCGGCTTCACTAGGTGACCACAAAGGCCCAAAGGAACAGGGATGTTCCTCGGAACAGCAGGCGTCAGGGCCCTGTGGCAGCAGGAGCTGGTGAGCCGAGGAGCTGAGGAGGCCAGGGCCCCTGGAGAGCGGGTGGGGGTGGGGGTTAGAGGCATGCAGAGGGGCAGGGGCTTGTGCCGGGCTGAGGAAGGCTCTGCCTCCCTGGCTGACTCAGGGCCACACCAGCCCTCCCAGCCGAGGCCTTTTTTGTCCAGACCCAGTGCTGCCCTTGCTTCCTGTTGGCTCTGGGCAGGTCACTTGCATCTCCTTGTCATACTCTAGAGATGGGATAAAGGTGACAGCTTTGCTCTGGGGACTGACTGCGTGGCCCACAGGAAGCATCCTGGGAGCAGCGCAGCAAGGACCAGCTGCCACGCTGAAGGAGCTGCTCCCCATGGGGGCCTCATCCCCACACCTGTCACATCATGGCGTCACCTGGTTCCCAGCCTCCCCGGGCCCTGACTCTAGGCCAGTGGGGGGCCAGAAGCCAGACACAGACGTGAGGGTAGCAGGGTCCCTGCCCTGGGGGAGCCCCTGGTACAGCCCGGGAGACAGACACTGACACCCAGCACCAGGCCCACATGACCCTGGCGAGCCGCAGGGCACCCCTTGGGGATTTCGGCCCCGGACAGGCAGCCCTTCTCCCCTCTTCTCCCCAGCTTCTTCCTACCTATCCCTTGTTCAGAACTAGGCAAGACGTCAAGGCTGTCACCTCCTTAGACCCCTGTGCTTCTCTGGGGCTGCTGCTGGGGTCAGGCGGGACCCTGGCAGCACGAGTCCGTGGCCCCCACTGCTGGGGGACCTGCAGGCCCTGGAGCCGTGGGGTTTCTGAAGCTCCAGGAGACGTTGATAAGCACGTTCGCCGGCTAGCAGCTCGTTGTAACACAGCCCCCAGACTGCAGAGAGGAGCCGTGTCTGCTCAGTCGTAGTCCAGACCCTTTCTGCCAGCACCCTTTCCCTTCCTCTGGGGGCCCTGTGTCTCCAGGGTCTCTGTCCCTTTTGGCCTGTGAGACAAGTGGAACTCCAGTAAGCGCTTGGTGCCCCTGACACCACTTTGCTTTACCTGGTTTCCCAGGCGGAGGCTTGCCTCTCCAGCACCGTCTGTGCCTGTGGGCTTCTGCCCACGAAGACGGGATCAACGGTGCCACGGCCTTTCCTCGGGCGGTCACTGCACTCTGAACACACACTGGTGGGGAGGGAGCCGCACTGGGGCAGCTGTGGGGCAGCCTGACCACTGCCTCCCGCCCTTGCCCCTGGGGCTGTGCCAGGAGGTGACCCTGGCTGGCGGCTGGCGCTGTAGCTTTGCCTTCTGCGGGTCTGTTAGGAAAGCCCAGCTCCTCATAGACCGAGAGCAGAAAGAACATTCTTCAGCCACTCACGCCCACCTGCGCAGCCTTCTGAGACTGTGCGCGCACGTTCATCAGGTGCTGCTAAATTGGCTCTTACACGTTTTTGGTGACTTGCTAAAATCACGTTTTTTTCTTTGTTTCTATAACAAAAATCGCCGTTTTTGCCATCAGCACGAATCTGAGATTCTTCCATTCCCAAACCCAGAGAGGAACTTTGTCCTTCCGGAAGAAATCATCCACGAAGTCCGAGAAGGTGAGGTTCCAGTGGGTTGGGTCCGGTTGGGGAGTTACAAGGCAGGATGTGGGCCAAGGGCGGTGGTGTCAGGGTGAAGGTCATGAGCCTCAGGGAGGAGGTGAGGGTCGCTGGCGTGGAGATTCTTGGCCCAGGTGGACTGGGGGGGTCTGGGGAGCCTCGGGGACTGGAGGGAACTTGTTTAAGAACAATCGGCTCTCTTTAAAAGCGGCCTGGCGGCAGCTGAGAACCACACACACAGCCGTCCCCGGCCTGAGCCATCCGCAGCATTGGGCAGGGCCGCGTCTCCCACCGTTTTGGTAAACGTCAGCTGTCGCCCCACAGGAAAAGTGGTCATTGAAGAGGAGATGAAGGAGGAAATGAAGGAAGATGTGGACCCCCACAACGGGGCAGACGATGGTGAGTGGGGGGCACCCCTGACCCCTGGGCCCTGCGTGCAGCCCCACATCCCCAGCCTGGGTGTCCAGTTGGCTTGCGGCCAGAGCTGCCCTGTCCACTCCTCCACTCGCTTGGGCGGGAGCCTCACATGGCGGCCCACACCACGAATAAGCCCCAGGGTGGCCTCGGGTCCAGCACCAGTCAGGTGGATGGAAAGCATTCATTGCAGGCACAGGCCCAGCTCCGCGAGGCAGGAATAGCGGGTGGACGGGCAGGGTCCTGCGGCCTGAGGTCACAGGGGTCACATCCTCAGGAGGACCCGGCTCTCTACAGGCCCCACGGCAGCCCCAGCTCAGAGTGGCCTGTGTGTAGGTGCAGGTTTCCATAACTTAGCGGGAAGACGAAATAAAATTCTGGATATTCTGTTTTCAACCAAATGATTTTGTCTCCCAGTTTTTTCATCTTCAGGAAGCTTGGGGAAAGCAACAGAAAAGTCCAGCAAAGACAAGAACCCTTCGGACTTGGGGTCAAAGGAAGGGGCGGACAAGCGGAAGCGCAGCCGGGTCACCGACAAAGTCCTGACGGCAAACAGCAACCCCTCCAGTCCCAGCGCTGCCAAGCGGCGCCGAACGTAGTCGTGGCTCGGCCACGGCAGGGGGCCCGGGGCGCCACTGTCACCCAGCCGGACACCCGCCGCCTGCCCTCAGGCCCACTGCAACCACCTGGGGCTCCGGGGGCCGGCTCAGGTGCGGAGAGCCGGGAGTCAGGCGTCCAGGGGCCCCCCCCCCGCCCACGCCACCAGGTGAGCTCCAGCCATGCCGGCCGCCGGCCGTGCCATGGTCCAGGCTCCACGGAGCAGAGCGCGGGGCTCGGGCAGGACAGCTGGAGTGGCAGGCAGGGTGCCTGCTGTGTCCCTGAGGAACGCTGGTCTTGCTGGGCGACTCGGCTCTTCCCATCTGCCTGTGTATCCGTCAGCCACTCTTCCTAAACCGGCTGCCCCCTCGGGAGAAAGAGACTCAGGCCACCTGCCTTCCGGCGCCTGCGCCAGAGAAATCGAGAACTGGATATTTTGCCTCATTCACTTGTACTGTAACGATGTATATAATTTGGTGGTATTTCACTATTTAATTTTTAAGAAGCCTATTTTACTAGTATTTTATATGAAAAAAATATTGCAGAAGTTAAACCTGTGTTGTATTTTTCCTGAGATGCTTTGTGTTAGGTAGTGATTACTGAGACGCTTTCCACTCGGTTTTTATATGCCGGAAACAGAGTTTGTAGGGCTATTTTTCTATCTCCCTGTAACTTGTAAACAGACCAAATGAGTGTGTGGAGGGAGGTGCACGGCCGGGGCGACTGAGATGCTTTCGTTTGAGCGCCAACCATTAAAGCACAAAAGAAGCAGCCCGCGTCTTGTGATTTTGATGCCAAAATAAGTTCCCTTTTCTAACAGTAGGAAGTGTTTATTTTCCGAAGGCTTATAATGCAGCCTACCCTCTCCAACTTCTTAGTATTCACTCGATTCAATGTATTTACCAACTAGAAACAGGACTAGAGTGGAAACTTTGTTGAGTGTAACAAGTCCTTCAAATACGGTAAACAAGGCAGAGCTGGTGGCTGGTGGAGCTGGGACATCCGGGGGCTCATCCTCAGGCAACGTGAGACTCCGGGCTGAGTCTGTTCTCCACAGAGGAGGGTACAGCCCTCCAGGGAGAGCGAGAAGGACATGCCCTCCCTCCTGGTCAGCCACTGCGTCCCAGGCTCTTCATCTGGACAAGTCACCTGGAAGCTGAATTCCCATCCACCCAGCTGAGCCTCTGCCACCATCTTGGAGCAGGAGGCCGGCCCGCGGTGCAGCCGGCCAGGCCAGGGCACGAATCTCGTGCACAGCAAGTGGCCCAGCCCAGTCAGAGACTGGCCTGCACCAAGCGTGCCATCACTTGTGGGGCCTTAAACACATTGCTGGTGCCCCTTCTCCCCAGGAGGGCCCAGCCCCCGAGCACAGAAAGAGCATCTTGTGTCCGGGCTGCTGAACCTGAGCACCCAGGTCCCCGCCCGGCTGCCCTGTGCCGGAACCGGGAGCAGAAGCTTGGTGCAGGTCGACCCACTGCTGGGGAGCTTGGTGGCCAGGCCTCCAGCGTGGGCTTTACCTGAGCAGGAAACTGGTCAGCACCCAGGATGGAGTCCAAGGCTGCTGCTTCCCCACGCGGTCCTGCCAGGGGCGTTTCTTCCGAGTTCTGAGAGGCAGTGCCATGAGACCTGCTGCTGTCCCAGCACAGCAGACGGCGTGCTCACCCCCAAATGCCCAGGTGGGACGGTCACTGCTCGCCACAGAGCAGGGAACACACCCCACATGTGTCCGAGGGGGAAGAGGGAGCAGAGGTCTGCATTATAGCGAGCTCAGTGCCCTGCAGCCCTCCCACGATGCCTGCTCTGGGCCAGGTCCTGTGGCTGAGATTGAGATGCCCATGAGAAGCCCAGTCTCTCGAGGGAGCTGCGGGGAAATGGGGCAAACAGCTCTACGGTTGCAAAAGGTGCCAACAAAGATGGGGGGTCTTCCCCAGGCTTGCTGGTAAACCCCCATCTGAAACAGTATCTTCAAGGCCCTCAGAACATGCTGGAAAAGCCTAGTGCTGCGTTTGGTCAGTTAACATCTGCTGCGTGCCTAAGAGAGGTGGGAGGAGGGGCGTGCAGGGCGAGCCCATCAACGCAGAAGGGCAGGTGCTTCACCGCCCCCCCCCCGCCTCAGGCATCTTTTTGGGGTCCAGTCCCCATGCCCTTGTGCCTGTGGGGGCTGCAGTCCTCAGCAGGGGTGAGGCCAGCCCAAGCGTCCCTGGCCTGGCGGGCACAGGTGTCCGAGGCCCTGCCCAGCTGTCACCATCCGGGCTTTCCTGCCTTGCAGCCAGTTCAGGTCAAATTCACAGGCGTCTGGAGCACTGAACCTCTCCCAGCCTAGGGGTCGTGTCTGTGACCAGGGGGTCTCATGTGCCCCCCTCACATAAGTAAGAGGTGTCTGAAAGAGGCTGGGAGCTGGGATGAGGTGGCCGCAGAATAAAGGGAAACCACAGTCAGTTGTTCCAAGCACCGCTGACCTTAGCCCAGGAACCTCCACAGAGGCTCTGTGTGCGGGAAGCCTGGGACCCAGCACCCTCCCCGCAAGAGGGCGGGGTGGGGGTGGGGCAGGTGGGTGTGGCCTCAGCACTCCCTGCTCTGGCCCAGCCCAGGTCCCCCCAAGGTTGATGCAGGAGGAGAGTGGGCTCCCAAGTACATACATACTGAGCGGCAATGGGGTGCAGCAGGGCTCCCTCGGGGCTGGTTGGGTGGGGCTGGGGCTTTGGCCTAATAACATGGCTGCAGCTGGTTTTGCCTGAGGAAAATGTTAAGGCGGGTCTAACCTGAGCCCTGAGCCCGAATCTGCTGAACTGCAAGACCCCTCAGTGAGGAGCAAGGCCACCCTCGAGCACAACACCTACTGCTAGTGCACAGAGGAGGTGCAGGAGTGCATGTGCGTGCACACGCCTGTGGGCATGGCGTCCTAGGCAGCAATGGGGACAGGCGTTCCTCTCAGCCCCCTTGCCCATTCCCTGGCCCAGCCTGGGCAGCAAGCTGTCTAGAGCTCTGAGCCCACCATGGGCATCCCCAGGCTGTGGAGGGGAGCAAACTGTCTTCAGCACAAGACTGGGGCTCCAGCTTCTTCCTGCAGCAGAATCTAGGCTCCCAGATTAACTCGCCCTGAGATGAGCCCCCTGCAAACAGTACACAAAGCAACTAAAGATGCAATTGGGTGTGAGTTACTTGTAAAGCAGAAACGGGGCAATGTCTTAAGAGCAACTGTTTTGGGAAAGTCTGTGGTCTTGGCCCTGGTCGGGGGCAGCTCAGTACTGCTCTGAGCATGGGCTGGGACCACGAAACAAGATGCCACTGCACAACACGCTTTTCTGTTTTCCGGGGTAGAAGAGAGGCACAGCCTCCCTCTCAGAGCAGCCAAACCTTGTACTGCCATCTCCAACACACGGACCCCACCATCAGAGGCTCCTGGGGTCATCTACCTGGAAGTCATAGCCAGGGTCTCCAGGGCCAGCTGTAAGTCAGACAACCAGAAGGCCAGGCCTGTGTCGGCAATCTGCGATGGGCTGGCCTCACCAGATGTGCCTGGGCTGCCTGCTCCCCCTGAAACCTGCCCTGGCCATTGGCGGCCGACCATTTGCAGAAATGCCCAGATGGGGGCGCCTGGGTGTCTCAGTCGGTTAAGCGTTGGACTCTTGGTTTTTGGCTCAGGTGGTGATCTCAGGGTCCTGAGATAATAGGGCCTTACGCTCAGTGTGGAGTCCGCTTGGGTCTCTCTCTCCCTCTCATTCTGCCTCTCCCCCCGCTTGTGTGCTTGCTCTTTCTCTCTCTGACAAGTAAATAAATAAAATCTTTTAAAAAAATAAAAAAGAGAGAGAGAAAGAAAGAAAGAAAGAAAGAAGAAAGAAAAGAAAGAAAGAAAGAAGAAAGAAAGAAAAAAGAAAGAAAAAGAAAGAAAAGAAAGAAAGAGAAAGAAAGAAAGAAAGAAAGAAAGAAAGAAAGAAAGAAAGAAAGAAAGAAAGAAAAAGAGAAAGGAAGGAAACCCAGATGTCCATACCTTTGGGGCGTCCCCATCATCCTTTTAGAAAGTGAGGTAGTGTGTTCACAGGTTCCAGCCAGGTGAGAGTGTACCCAGAGAATTAATGAAGATCAACAACCCAGCAAAGAGTCGGGACCTGCACCAAGAACGGCCTGCAGCTGTGCCCACAGCCAAGATTGGAAAGTTCTGGTGAGCTCTCTCAGCTAACCCTGGCTGCACAGGCAGCCTGGGGCCTGTTAGCTGGCTTGCAGGGCTGGGAGAGGTCAGTGTCCCTGGGGGGCTGGCGGGGCTTGACCCCAGGACTCATCCTCATGACCAGATCCATCTAAAAGCCAGACTCCAGTTTTTGCTAAGCTTTTTGAAACAATAAAGTGGTGTAGTAGTTAGTTATAGAAGACAGATGTTACCTGGGGTGGCCACCCCCAACTTTCATTTCGAGGGGTGGGTCACCAACTTTGCTGGAGCTCCTGTGACCACCAGCAGATGTCAAGGCAGAGATTAAGTAAGGGACCCACGGTCTCTGGGAAGTTTGCAGCTGAAGGTGATTTTTCAGCTGTCTAAAATGTGCCCGTGTTGTAGAGAGGTCATCCACGAGCAGCCGCCCCCCGGCCCTTCGAGAGGTCCGTGAGGGGGTGCTTAACTGGGATTACCTGTGTTGAACGGCCTTAGGGTGACCCCCAGGCATTCCTGCATCCTGGTGTTTGGCCCTGGGTGCACCTCCCTGGAAGGCAGGCAGCACATGTGTTTTCTTCCCACTGAGAGAATGTGGTCACGGGGACAGAGTGCAGGCCCACCATGACGGTACATTGTAGGCCTCTCAGCACACTGGAAAGAGACTCTGGCCTTCAAGAAGCAAACTGCCCAGTTGTGAACTGACTGGAGGGACACAGGGCTCTCCATCCTACTCCCCCAAGAATGATTTCTGCCTCCAGTCTGGGGGATCATGGAAGCAAACCACCTTCCAAAGGAGCCTCTGATGACACCACAGCCCCAGCCTACACCTAGAGGGAATATCCTGGGGGTACCTTCTGGGGAGGACAACTTTCAGGGATTATCCTCCTGGGGGGGTCATCCTTATGGAGGGACATCCTCCAGGAACTTCCTCCAGGAGAGACATTCCTCTGGGGGGGGGACTTCCTCTAGGAGGACACCCCCTGGGAAAAGGGATACTGTGGAGGAGGGGTCCTTCTAGGGAGTAGGCATCCTCCTGGGAGAGAATCTTCCAGGGGAGGCTTCCTCTGGGGGAATATTGTCCTGGGGGGCATTCTGGGGAGTGATTCTCTGGGATGAGCATCCTCCAGGGACATCCCCTGCAGGGGGACCCTCTAGACTGGGTATACTCCAGAGGGCATCCTGGGGAGGGCATCTTCCAGGGAGGGCCATTCTCAGAGAGGAGGACTTTGGGGGAAATTCTCTACGGGGGTGTCCAGGGGTGGATACTGCAGGGGGCGGGGGATATTCTGGGAGGGATTCTCCTGGGGGAAGACATTCTCCAGGGACAATCTCAGGTAGACATCCCTCAGGGGGGACATTCTCCCAGGGGGAAGGGATATTGTGGGGGGGATCCTGGGGGGAAATCCCGGGTGAGGCATCCTCCCGGGAGAAAGCGCCGCGGGGAGAGGGCACCCAGGGAGGAATCTCAGCGGGGAAGGGAGCGCGCGTCCTCCGGAGAGACGTTCGCGGGGAAGGGTTGTTCTCCGAGCGGGAACATCCTCCGGGCAGGCGGCGGCGGCGGCCCCGCCCCGGCCCGCCCCCTGGCCCGCCCCCCCGGCCCCGGCCCGCCCCCGCGCTTCCTCCCTCGCTCACTTTCGCTTCCGCCGGAGCGCGGGTCTCGCCGCCGCCCGAGCATGGACGACCCGGACTGTGACTCGACCTGGGAGGAGGACGAGGAGGAGGACGGTGAGGGCCCGAGCGCCGGGGGCGGCGAGGATGGCGAGGCCGGCGCCCCGGGGGACGCGGACGCGGAGGACGAGGACGCGGACGAGGAGGACGCGCGGGCGGCGCGGCCCGGAGCGCTCCAGGTGCAGCCCCGACGCGCGCTGGGGTCCCCGCGCCCCCGGGCAGGCCTGCCCGGTCGCCGCGAGGTGGGGGTGAGGCCCCGCTCCGGGGGGGCCGTCCCCCCTGGAGACCCGGCCTGGGGCCTGGCCCTCCCTCCAGGTGTTGCGCTCTCCCCCGCCCACAGACTCCTCGTGCCCCCCTCAAGGCCCCCGGACACCCTGAGATCGGCCCGGACCTGCGCCTCCCAGCTCTGGCGCAGCCAGGGGACCTTGCAGGGAGATCCAGGGCCACCCTCGGATCTGTGTCCCCAGAACCGAATTGTGTGCTGACACTTCCTCAAGGGGATGCCCTGGACACATTCTGGACTCCCCTCTCTGTCACCTCCCACCTCCAGGCCCTTGGTTCGGTCCTCTGGATAGATCCCAGGCCTCCGTGCTGGGCCCTCCACTGCTTCTGCGGGCCCTCTGTCTCTTGGTGCTCCCTGCTTCTGCCCCACCTGCTCCCCACCAGCCCGCCCCACCCCCACCTTTGCTCTCGGGGTGCAGCACCCACCCACTCGGGGCCTCCTGCCTTCCTGGAGGTGGCCTTGGAGGCCTACATTTATGTGACTTGCCTGAGCCAGGCCTGCACCTGGAGCGCGCTGGGTTACTGGTGGTTACCACCAGCTCCTTGCAGTTATGGTGCTGGTTATTTGTCATTACGAGCTGTCACTTTTGTTACTACTGACTACTTGTGACCAGTAGTTACTTTTGTCACCACTGGTTACTTGTCATTACCATGGTTACTTTTGTTGCCACTGGTGACTCCTTACTATCAGTTACTTTTGTTGCCACTGATTTTTCTCCAGTTACCACCAGTTACTTTTGTTGCTAGTGCTACTCTTCCTTACCCGGAGCTAGAATTCACTGGGCAGCAAGCACATCCTGCCCCATGCAAGGGCAGCCGTCCCAGCTGTGGTCTCAGGTGTTACAGGGGACCTGACGTGATAGCTGTCGCTTGTGAAGGATGGTGGATTCGCATCATGTCTGAGTCCCAGCCTGCAGGGTCTCCGATTGGACACATGAGAGTTCTGGTTTTTGGGGTTTATCTCTGTGTTGGGGAGTGGTCAGTGAGAGGGACCCCGAGGGGCTCCTGGACCTGCCAGGAAGGCCAGAAGCCTGAGCACATCTATGGTGTTTTGGGCAGGGCTGCGGTTCTTGAGGAAGTAGGCTGGGCCATGGTCAGGGTCACGGGGCTAGAGTCAGAGGGCAGGAATCTGGCTCTTTTCCTGTGGCAGATGCCCACTTGGATGGAGTAAAGGGACACTGTCCTTGCCATAGCTTCACAGGCGCCACTCCTAAAGCAGTGCTCTGGCACCTCGGCCACCCCATGAGATGCCCACAGTCCTCTGCCGTCTACAGCTTCTGTCCCTCCACAAGTCCTAATCCTCTCCCCTCTCCCCTTCCCCCGAGCCCCCCCCCCCCATAGCACTCCCCAGCTGCCCCACACTGAGCCCTGGCATGGCTGTTTGATGCTTTGCCCTGGGTTGAGTCGTCTGTGCACCTGTGGGGCTGGCCCTCTTGCACTGACCTGGGGCGGAGCCTGGCTGGCCCCAGGGAAGAGGAGAAAAGGAAACTGGTGGTGGGTGGGGCCAGCTTCTGCTGAGTTTTGGTTTCTCTGCAGGCCCTTGGCTGGTAGGCAAAAACATCACCAGCTTGCCCGGGGCTATAAATCGGGCAGAGAGGCACCACCCCAATCCTTGCTGGAGCTCAGAGCTATTTGGAGCATGTTGGGGAGTGGGGATGGGGTCAGAGCCAAGGGACATGGTGGTAGTCCTGGCCTCCTGACTCCCCTTCCAGTGCTCTTTTGCTTTTTCCAGGATCCTGGGACCCAGACATTTCCCTGGCTTGAGCTGTCCACTCTTGTCATGCCCAGCGGCGTTATCTGCCTCCCCAGCTTCTGTGGGACCTCAAGCCAGGTTCAGCCTAGCTCATGCCTCCCACCCTATAACAGGATGGGTCAGGCTGCGTTTACCTAGCATCCTGGTAGCCAGTTAACTTCCATCCTTCACAGGACCCCGGGGTGCTTGGCCTGCAGAGACAGGGGCTGCAGGTGTTGAGGGGGCAGCGAGGAGCTTCTGCATCTTGCTGAGAAGCCTCCCCCATAGGACAGGAGGCCAGGAGACACACGGTCTGATGAGGAACGTTGGGGTTGGGGAGAGACAGGACTGGCTCCCTGGGTCATTCATCTCTTTGTCAGACAGGTGTTTGGGGCCCCTCCCGGGGCTGTAGGCTCTAAAGCCGCTGCCTTTGGGGACACAAGCCTGGTGACAGGCTTAGAGCACAGTGCAAAGAGGGAGCAGTGGGGTGGGTCCCCGGGGGGGTGGGGAGTCCTACAGCTGGTGTCCAAGTGAAGGTAACCAGTGAATACGGGAGTAGGAAGTGAAGTTAGAGCTGGAGGGGAGGGTGCTTCACCCCAAGAGTATGCTGGTCAGCCTGGGCGTCCTGAGAGCTGGGGCAGGCAGCAGGGGCCAAGCAGGGGCGGGTCTCGCTCCCATCCCTCCTGTCCGCTCTGGTTTTGCTGATAGCTGACCCAGGCCTTTGCTGCCCTTACTGTGATGGGGGCTCACTAGGGGTAGGTCCTGCTTACTGCTGGGTCTCCCATGGGGGTCTCACCCCCTCTCCTCTCTTCTCAGGCCGGGATGCTGGGGTCCCGAAACTGGCGAGCCATGCGGGACACGCGCAGGTACCGGCACCACTACCCGGTAGGTAGCTGCCTGTGGCGTCCTCCCACCTCGGCAGCCCACCCGGGTCAGAGTCCTCCCACCCTGCACCCGGAGAAGGCCATCAGCCCCTCTTCTCAGACCAGGTCCCATGTCCCACCTGGGACGGCTGCTCCTTGCCCTCCTCACAGGGTGACAGGCACAGCGGGGTGAGCCTCAGTGCCCTGGCCTTTAAAACACGGGACCAGCACCAGCTAGTAGGCACAGCCACACGAAGTCCCGCACACTGGGGCCCATGCTGGGGGCATTCCTGTTGCCCTCATCCCTGCCCTCTGCACCCTGAGTTTCAGGCAACCCCTGGGCTGCCTCGGGGGGGACAGATGACAGGGACCTGGCCCACGCTGGTGAGGAGGGGAAGGTGGTGGTCGGAGGGAGCTGCTGTCCTCACCTGCAGGGTGAGGGGCCCATGCCGGGTACATGGGGTCCTCGCCAGCCCTCAGCATGTCAGAGGTTTGTGGGCCCCAGAGCAGACGCCCCCTCCCCCCAGGAACGTTCTAGTGTGAGGGGCCCTTGAAGGCAGCCTATTTCTGGAGATGTTCTGACAGGTACCTTTCTCTGGCTCTTCAGGATTTGATAGAACGAGATGGTAACGGTGACATGCCAAACCTGAGTTTCTACAGAAATGAGATCCGTTTCCTGCCCAATGGTGCGCGCTTGCTGGGCTGCCTGTGGTTCTGTCCCGGGGCGGTCGGGGGGAGGCCATGCCGTCTGTCTCCCCTCCACCTGGCTGCTCCTATTCGCTGGGACCCGGCCGTGGCGCCGAGGTTTTCGGCTAGCCCCACGGCGCCCCCTGGAGGCCGCGGAGGGGACGCCCGGGCCCCAACGCACAGCTTGTTTTCTGTGAAGGACCAGGCAGTGAATATGGGGGCTTCGTACACTCCTCAGCTCAGCCGCCGTAGTGGGAAAGCCGCATACGTAAGCTAACAAGGAAGAATCATTATTACGTTTTCAAATGGTTGGAAAAAACTTAACGGTAGAATGATATTCTGTGCTGTGAAAATTATATGAAATTCAAGCATCAGTGCCCATAAGGGAGACTCTGCTGGGACCCACCCGTTGGTGCAGGACCCACTGCACACTCACTGTCTCACTGTCTGGCCCTTTGCAGAAACAGCAGCTGCCCTACCGGAGGCCAGGCTATGGGGTGGGGTTCTGCTGGAGGCTCTGTTTGAGGTCAGGTTCCAGCCAAGAGGCTGTGGTTTGGAGGGGACAGTGAGGCCACCTTTCTGCAAAGAACCTCCATGTCCTTCTCCCAAGGGGCCTCCTGGGCCCTCCCGCACAGCAAGCCCAGTGTGGTCTTCTCAACCGGGTCTGCCCTCAGTCAGCAATGGAGGTCCCGTGTCCAGACTGCGAAGAAATCAAGGGCTTTGCTTGGGGGTTATGGTCACATGAGACCTATACAAGCTTCCGAGCCCCCAAGGTCCTCAAGAAAGGGGGGGGAGGGGGCCGGCTTCCAGCAGCTCCTCACTGACTTGTCCCCGTGGGGCCCCCAGGCTGTTTCATTGAAGACATTCTTCAGAACTGGAGGGAGGACTATGACCTCCTGGAAGAGAATCACTCCTACATCCAGTGGTGAGTGGGTGGGGCCAGAGGGGCGGGGCTTACAGAGCAGGTGCCCTCCCCCTTTCCAGATGCTGGCTTTGCACTCTGGCCCATGCTCTGCTCCAGGTGGGGCCATTCAGGCACCTCTGCTGTCCTGCAGTCTGTGGGTTTGGCAGCGGTACAGAGACTCTGAGGTTGGGAGCTGAACGCAGACCTGGAGGACAGGAAGAGCAGGCTGGCTTCCCCGGGTGGGTCCCCAGTGCCAAGAGGCCGTGTGGCCCTGCAGAGCCCTTGGTAGGCTCAGAGTGTCAGGGTTCTAACAGTAGCCTGAGGTGATCCTTGCCAGCATGGCTGCCTTGGGGACCCTTGACACTGCCCCCCAAATAACGGAATGCATTTGAAGATGGCATCTTGGGGGCCTCTCCTGGGCACAGAGCATCATGGGGAACAGCTCTGCAGCATTAATGACAAGACAGAAAGAACATAAGAATAAAAAGGAGGGGGCGCCTGGGTGGCTCCGTCAGTTGAGCGTCCCACTTCTGGTTTTGGCTCAGGTCATGATCCCAGGGTCATGAGATCAAGCCCCACTTCGGGCTCTGTGCTCAGCAGGGAGTCTGCTTGAGCATTCTCTCTCTCCCTCTGCCCCTTCCCCTGCACGCTCCTGCTCTCTTCTCTCTCTAAAAATAAATAAATCTTAAAAAAAAAAAAAAACGAATAAAGAGGAGAGCCTGGAATGCCCTGCTGAGCGTGCATGCTGAGCCTCCCGTGGCCACGTGTGCCCCTCCCCTGTGCCCTGGTCCAGAACAGTCTCACTGCGACTTCCCTGCCCTCAGCCCCTGGCTTTGACTTGTGAGAGCCCACAACACAGGTTCATCCATCCGGCCAGGCCCTCCTAGAGTTGAGCTTTGAACCCCGAGAGGCTGGTGAGCACGTGACCCATGGCGGGTAGCCCATGTTTGCCGCTGATGGGACCCGTGCCCTGTCCTCTCTCACAGGCTCTTCCCGCTGCGCGAACCTGGAGTGAACTGGCACGCCAAGCCCCTCACGCTCCAGGAGGTTGAGGTGAGCTATACAGGCTGGGAAGCCTCTTCCCTCCAGATGGGTCCTTGCCTCTGCCCCCTGGTGCTCCCCACAGGCTTCTAGAGAAATCTGATTTTCTTCAGCAGTTTGCGTCAAGTCGGGGAGCCCAGGGCCAGAGCTGTGAGCAGAGTCATGGTGATGGGGGCTTCATCACACCTGTTTGGGCTGGAACAGGACACTTGGAGGGATGGGAGGGTCTGGGGAGCCGAGGAGACTGTGTGTTTCCTGCCATATGCTCAGCCCAGGGAGGGCCCCCCCCCCCGAGCTGTCTCCAGGGGCTGGCAGAATTCCTCTGGGGGCTAAAGCAGATGCCTCAGTCCCCAGTGAGACCTCGTAGCAGCTAGAAGAGAGTTACATTATGAATTCTTCTCTGGGTTCCTGCATTCTATCACTTTACCCCAAAAGTCTAAGTCCAGGCCTCTAGATAAACTGGGGCCTGAGGGAGGTGTCAGCTAGCCCGATGCACCCGTGATGGCCCCTGAGCCTCCACTGGCCTCGTGGGGTGTGTTCCAGGCATTTAAAAGCTCCGAGGAAGTCAGGGAGCGGTTTGTCCAGGCCTACGAGCTCATGCTGGGGTTCTACGGGATCCAGCTGGAGGACCGAGATACTGGGCAGGTGCGCCGAGCACACAACTACCAGAAGCGCTTCCAGAATCTCAACTGGTAAGGACCCTCGCCCCACCCCAGCTGAGGGGGATGGGGCCGTGCCAGGTTCCAGACAGGTGTGGGGGAGCACTTTGGAGAAGGATTCCAGGGGTACTTGGGCAAGTGACTGAGGTTCTAAGCACCCTCCTCGTTTGCAGGGTGGAGGTGGTCCCAGCTGCTAGGGGTGTGAGAACTTAGGGAAATGCACACCAGTCAGTTTCATCAGCTATGCCCCCACCATCCACGTGGGTGTAGGTCAGGTTGCCCACAGCTCCAACGACCTTGCAGGCACAGGGCCTCTCACCCCTGCTGAGAAGCACTGGGTGGGGAGTTAGTGCATGGGGTGAATCTGCTGATGACACGAGCACCCCTGCACGTGGGTAACAGGCCCCTGGGCGAGGTCCCATGCTCTAGAGGGTCCCCCTCCGGCTCTCCTCCAGCGGTGCAGGGGCTGGGGTGTGGGGGTTCCACGGGGCTTTTAGAAGCACCCTTCTAAAAGATACATCACAGCCCCCACCTGCACCCTCCGGGCCCACAGGCCATTTTCTCTGGGGCCGGGGTGAGGGGGTGGGGCGGAGCCCGCAGGGCGGGCAGCCGGGAGGAGGAGGAGGAGGGCGTCCCGGCCACCGCCCCTCCACTCCCCCCGCCCCCAGGCACAGCCACAACAACCTCCGCATCACGCGCATTCTCAAGTCCCTGGGCGAGCTGGGCCTGGAACGCTACCAGGCGCCGCTGGCGCGCTTCTTCCTGGAGGAGACGCTGGTGCGCGGCGAGCTGCCGGCCGTGCGGCAGAGCGCGCTGGACTACTTCGTGTTCACCGTGCGCTGCCCGCGCCAGCGCCGGCAGCTGCTGCGCTTCGCCTGGGAGCACTTCCGGCCGCGGCGCAAGTTCGTCTGGGGGCCCCATGACAAGCTGCGCCGGCTGCGCCCGCCCCTGGCCCCCGACCCCGGGCCAGCCGACGGCGAGGGGAGCCCCGGGGACCCGCTCCGCCAGGCCGGCGCCTCGGGACAGACCTGCGGGCCGGGGCGGGCCGACAGCGGGGACGGCGTGGCCGCGGGTCCCTCGCCGCCGCCGCCGGGCGCTCTGGCGGGGGACCAGGAGGGGGAGGCAGGGGGCAGTGGAGAGGAGGGCCCGGAGCCCCCGAGCCCCAAGGAGAGCAAGAAGAGGAAGTTGGAGGCCAACCGGCGGGAGCAGGCCCCAGCGGAGCCGGGCTCCCAGAGCGCCTCGGACGTGGAGAAGATCGCTCTGAACCTGGAGGGCTGCGCCCTCAGCCACGGCAGCCTCGGCCGGGGATCCCAGGAATTGGGCATCCAGGCCCCGGGGGAGGCCAAGCAGCCCTGCCCCCAGCCCCCAGGGGCCAAGGTGGCCGAAGAGGTGAGGAAGAGAAGGAAGGTGGACCAGGGCCCCTGGGACGGTGCCTCGGTGGGTGGCGATGGTGGGGACGGTGGGACCAAAAAGCCAGCCCCTGCCCGGCATCCTGCCGTGCCGGAGTGCCCTGAGGCTAGAGAGGGTGAGAATGGGGTGGAGGAGGCTGCCCCCGGGGGCTCAGCCGCCGCAGGACCACCGGTAGATAAGGAAGCTGAGGTAGGGCCTTAGGCTAAACCCAGAGAGCCTTAAGGGAGGCCGGTGCCCGCGGGCATCCCGGCCCGGCCACAGGTCTGGGGACCCCCGTTGCCGGCTGTTGTCAGCTCCATGCGGTACTGGCCCCTCCCTGAGGGCCCCTCCCTGATGGCCACTGTGGCCGCGGCAGCTGCTGGAAGCCAGGAACTTCGGAATCCTTACCTCGAACTCACGTCCCGCGGCCTCCTCTGTGCCGTGCCCCCGGCCCCGCCCCCCCGCCCGTCTTTGTAAATTGGCCCTTAAGGGTTGGGGGTGGGAGTGGGGTTCAATTTCTTAGTCTGGTGCCAAGGCCTTTTCTGAATAAACTCACTTGACTTTGAGCGTTTGGGCGTGGCCAGCGGCCCTGTGGGTGGCCAGGGTCTGGGAAGGGTGGAAGGGGGGCTAGTTTCCCACATGGTGCTGCTCCTTGGGCTTCCTCCCCTTGGGTGTGAAGTGGCCTAGACCCCAGCTCTGGCCCACTTGGCCAGTGTAGCACCTGTGGAAACAGCCGTGTGTAGTCCCCTGGACACATGCGTTGGTCCCAGGCACCCTGACCACACGGCCTCCTGGGGCCTCTGGAGCTGGGCACTCAGTCCCGTGGCTGCCTTTTGTCAGCCTGGTTTAGGAGTAAGTTTGGGACTCATGCACAGTCGCCTTGGGTGGGCTGAGTGGGAGGAGCAACGGTTTGGGAGGGCCCTGGGTCTAGACAAGGCCTTGGCCTACCCTGATCTGGGGTGCAGTGTTGTGCCCCAGGGCCAGCTCCCCAGCATGCTCCGTGGTTCTGTCTTCTCTGTCCCTAACCTGGCAACCCTCCACACCAGGACCCCCTTGACCCCTCCAACCTGGCATGGGCCAAGTGCACCTCCCTGTCCTCAAGGCACGGTCGGCTCTCAGCCAGGCTTTGTCCCCCTGGGCCAGGACCCCTGCTGCCTGACACACTGGAATTTCTACGTCAGCACCAACAGGGTGACGGCGCTGCAGGGGGCCACGTACTTGCCTTTGAACAAATGAAGTGATGGAGGCCACGGCTCTTCTGGGGGGAGGAGGAGGAGCCCAGTTCACGCTGAGTTCCGAACTGTGATTTGGGCTCCATTCTCAGGAAAAGCATTGATGGTTAGCTCCTGTCCTGGCGGGAGGGGTGGACAGACTGGAAGTCATTTTGGGGGAAGGCAAGCGCCTGAGTTAATGTTCCCCGGTGCTGGAGTTGGGGCAGGGTATGTGCTATGCTGCTGACTCACCTCCCCCACCGCCACCCCCCATCTGCTGGAAGGGAAAGGACCCCAGGTGCCTGAACTCCAGTTTGCCTCCGTGATGGACTTTCTACCACAGAGGGTAAACTAAGGCACCGAGATGAGTGTGGGGCATCCAACACTGAGTCTTCAGCAGGGTCCCACTGAAGCTCTAGTGGTGAGAATCCTCAGTCTATACCATGATGGAGCACAGGTTTGATGGGGAAGCTTGAAGCCTGGAGTGGGAGGGAAATACCGTTGGATCAACCCTAGGGAAGGGTGCCTGTGCCCAGCAGTGGGGACCTAGGGACTGGCAGGCAGCTCTGGCCCACCTGACCCCCAAACTTCACAGAGAGTGTTGGCCCAAAACAGAGGGGTGATGCTTTGGTTCTGCCTGGAGGTACCAGGTGTGAGGTTGTCCACTCTAGGCCACTGTGGCTGAGCTTCGAGGCAGGGGCAGCTCTCCAGGGGCAGGGGCTGTGTGGAGCAAGGGATAGGTTTGGGGCAAAGGGTGGAGCTGGATTTCAGGCACCAGGTCACTCCCTTGACCCAGGTGAAGGCCAGCTGGGCTTCCTCTGAGTCTGATTTAGCATGGGGGGGGTGGGCCAGGTGGGGTGCTGGGGCCCGGCAGGAAGGACTGAGGGGGGGATTGGTGGGGAAGAAGTCTTTCTCCGCAGGCTGTGGGCTTGTGGGTGGGGTGGAATGGCTGGCCTGAGGATGTTCTAGGATGACTTGAACTCTGCGGGAGGGCAAGAGCTTTTGAGCTTCTCTTGGCCTTCCTTGATAGAATTCACACACACCCTCCCATCTGAGGGAGTGAGCAGCCAGTCTACCCCGATGGTGAGCTGAGGTTCTCGACTGAGTCGGTTTGCTTCTCCACTCTGTCCCTTTCGTTTTCCACCCGCTGATCCCATGTAAACCCATGCACCTCACAAATCCTGAGTTCCCACCCGCAGAAATGAAACTCATATACTATACAGACAGGTCCAAAGGTGGTAAGTTTTCTCAATTGTTCAGTCAGTTACAGATTGAACTCTGTATTGCACTCTTTCCCCGCCTCTCACTGTTGCACTTAAATAGTGGAAGGAAGGAAGGAAGGAAGGAAGGAAGGAAGGAAGGAAGGAAGGAAAAGAAAGAAAAAGAAAAGAGAAGTGAGGTTCATACAGCATACTGTAAATCAAAGCAGCATTTCCCAGGGAATTTTAAACATTCCAAAACTTGGCCGTGGGTGGGGCTGAGATCGTGCAAAATCAGTGGGCCTGTAGGTGACCTGGATTTGTGAGAGTCCCCTAGGGTGGCCATGGAGGCCCCTGGCCCCAGGTGCTGCCCCTCACCCTGCTGTTCCTATGCCTTCCCAGGGTGAAACAGAGTTTGCCTAAATCCAGTGGCCCTGAGCTGCCCAAGGCTTGTGAGAAACAGGAACAGCCAACACCAGCCTTGGGGTTTGTGTCCATCCCCAGCTTTGCTCAGGCCCCATGGTCATGGTGGTGCTACCTTCCTCAGCCAGCGCCACCGATTGGCTCTCTCTTGGGGAGGAGAGAGCCGGATAAGAGACTGGCCTTTGCCAGCGATGGATGACATGGATGGGCCACTCAGGATAAAGTTTGGGGCAAGGACCCTGGGAATAGGAGGTGTCCCCAGCCTCACAGGCATGGTCCTAGACTTTTGCCTGTGGCCAGATGCGGTAGTCGGAGCCAGCGCTGTGGGGGGCCGGTCTGGGGTCTTCCTGGGCCTTGGGCAGCTTCAATCCCACTCAGGACCCTGGGGAAGTCACCCTGTCTCTAGGGCTGAGGCTGCCCCTTCTCCAAAGAAGCCTTCAATGTGGAATTGTTCCCTCTCTCCATACCCTGGTTGAGGAGCAAGTGGAGAAAAGAGCGTCTTTCTTATTCGCTCAAAGGTATATGTGTGTAACTCATCAGTCTGGGGATAATTTTAACTCAGAGGCTGGCCAAAAAACTGCCACTGGGTTTCTTTCTTTCCCCTGGCCGGCTCGGCGGGGAGGCGTGGGGCGGTGCGGAAGCCCCAGGTGGGCCCTGCTGAATGGGGGGCTTGTGCCCGGCTGGCGGGGCGGGAACTGGCGTCCAGCCCGCCGCCCGCCCCGCCCGCCGCTCAGAGCCCAGGCGGCCGCCGCTGGTGCCGCTCAGAGCGCGAGTGCAGCCATGGCCGGAGCCCCCACACTGCTGCTCCTGCTCGGGCAGCTCTTGGCCGTGACCCTGAGCGCGGCACAGGTGAGCGAGGCGCAGGTGAGCGCGGGGCTGGAGCGGCGCGCTGGGCTCGCACCGGGGATCGGCGGCCGGGGTGGGAGTCTGGGGCTCTGAGGGGGGGGCGTCGAGCCGCGCGGCCCGGGGACCACCCTCCCCCGAGCCACCCTGGGCCAGCGAGTGAGCCTGAACTCGAGGACACTTGGAGAGCCGGCGCAGCCCTCGAGCCCGTGGCCGGCCGAGCCCCCGCAGACACCGAGACGCGTCGTGGATGAGCCCAGGACGGTGCCCTGTCCTTGCCTGGCTGGGTCGGCTGCTGCCAGTGCCACCACCCCCACCAGCGAGGCACAATGCCGCCTTTGTTCCCTGAGGCTCCTGTGGGGCCGTGGCCCAGCCCCTCCCGGCCCGAGGATGGAGGCAGCAGATACTGCCGGCCCCAGGCTCTTGGGGGGGGGTCTCTGAGGCAGGCTTGGTTTGGGGGGCCGCCGGAGCCAGGCCCCAGCTCTGCTCCCGACCCAGAGAGGGGACACACTGTTGGGCTGACCCGAGGCTGACCGGGGGGACCTGCCCCACGGGTGAGGGCGGGATAGCACAGCTGCATAATGACATTTCTCCATTTCAGAAAGTAGGACCCCAAGGCCCCCCTGGCCCCCAAGGGCCCCCTGGGAAGCCGGGCAAGGATGGCATTGATGTAAGTTGGGGTGGGAGGGGCCCCAGAGTGTTCGGTGGGGTTCTCGTCCGGCCCCAATTTCCCTGAGCCCCAGACCTGATGGAGACAAAACCAGTGCCCACCTCCCAGGGCTGGGGCAAAGGGGTATGGGTCCTGCTCAGGGTTCACCCCACCGGGATTGTGCCCCCAGAGCAGGGGGAGGGGACGCTGCACAGTAGTCTTTGGACTAGAACTGTGGGCACTGAGGTGTGTGTCTCCGGGTGCCCAGAGGGTCCACGGCGGTGGAGGTGCAGGGCCTGTCCCTCTGGGTGGGTCTCATTGGAGGCTGCTTGGGGCTGGAGCCAGCTTCGGAGGGGGCTTGGGGGCTGGCTCTGCCCCAGAGATGGCGTCCTCCATGGGCGTCCCAGGTCAAGTGTGGCACAATCCTACAGCCTGCCTCCCCCAGGACTATCTGGGGTGAACCCCCAATCCAGCCACCTCCATGAAAGGTAGGGGCCTGCTCCAGGCCTCTCCTTACCCATAATGTACCACAGGAGCCCCACCTTGACTAGTCCTGAGCCTCTGAGTCCCCCAGGCCCTGGATGGCCCCAAGTCTCCTACCCACCCCAACCCTGGCCGGCCCGGACCCACAGGGTGCTCAGCGACAGCCCTGCAGAGTGGAGGCAGAGAGGGGCAGGACAGCCCAAGGCTGGCCCCTATGCCCCTCCCACCAGGGCTGGGCCCCTGGCCCCCCAGGACTCCCAGGCTGACAGGAGTCAAGTTGAGTTGTTCCTTCTGGGGAGGCCTCCCCTTAAAATCCTGGCCTGCAAGCCTCAGTTAAAGGGTGTCAGGTCTAGTGGCCACAGGGGGTGGGGGGGCTGGGGTGCCTCCTTGGGCCTCTGTGAGTCTGGGAGACTGCCACCCTGGGTCAGGTGGGAGCAGGAGGCCTCTCAGTGCTCACAGCCCGCCTTCTGAAGCTTCTCGGGCTGGTGGGGTGGGGGTGGAGGGCTGTGGGACACGTTCCTTTTGCTTCTGGAGGTGGTGTGCCCTCTGCCCTCAAAAGGTATGTGGGCCCTGTAGGGGCTGAGCCCCAGCTGTCCAGCTCCCCCGCCCCGCCCCACTCCCACCTCTGTGCCTGACCACACAGGGGAGATGCCCCCTAAATGTGGATGG